GGTTTCCAAAGTCAACTACACTGAAAATTTCACCTCCTCAAACTGTATAAATAACAAACCGCCAATTAAATGACAATTAGAATACCTAGCCAGAAATCGGGTGGCTATGCCTGATTCGGGCATCTCTCTCTCTCTCTCTCTCTGAGCTGAGTTAAACCAGATGTACACCATTGACTAAGAGCTCAGCCAGCCCCGAACGAGAGAAACGCCCGCCTTCCATGGTGTTTAGATCACCTCGATCTGGCTGACTGGCTGGTTGGCTGGCTGCATGCACTACCACTGGTTGATGTCACTGGTATACAACAACTACTACTTATCTCAATCAATAAGGAGTGTATAGTTTTATGCAAATATTTCATTTTGTAATAGATTTCTTAACAAAGAGGGTACTTACTACTTTGCTTAATGAGCTAATTAGTTTTCCATCAAATATGTAAATTGGCTCTAGAGTATAACAAATAAATTTTTTTATTGTAATCATCTGATGATAAGTAAATTAAAAAGAGCTGTTCAATAGAAACAAGTTTTCCTCTTTATTTTTGTCAATTTTAAACTGGCATAAAAGACAATAAAAACAAGTATGTGAGAGAAAAAATGTAAAGCATACTTTCTCTCTAAGTGAACATAACAAACACACATGTAAGAACCACTTTGTAGTTTATATAGTCTGTGCATTGATTACCTCAAAATAAGGAAATAAGTCATATGACAAAATCACAATATATACGCCAAAAAATAAAAATTAATCCACCTCTTCGTAGTTTAAACATTGACAAGATATTTTGAACAGTCTTATTCATCATCCATCCATCATCAACATACAGTTATAGACCAATGCATGAAGAAGACCTCAAAATGTAGTGTCAGGATGGAAAGATATTACAAGTGGAGGTATTCTAACTGAAGAGAAATGCGGGGGAAGTTGGGGACGTATTATATACTCTGAATAATATATGTATACAAAATACAAAGAACTTATAAGAAGATTGATCACTACTCTAGCGAAATCAATCAACTGACCGGAACTACAACACTCTCCTGCCTAGGGATCATATGATTGACTAGCTATCAGGTGAGAAATTAATCTAATCAACAAATACACGCTCACACACACACAACTAGAGAACTAACTAACTAACTGGTAGTAGTAGTAGTACCTTATTTATTGTTTTGAAATAAATTGTATGCTAAACATTACAATGTTATTTATGATTTAATTGACAAATAAATTTTTTTTTGAAAATATTTTTAGTTTATTCCTTTACGTTCCTAGTGGAACTGAGGGCTTCAAGCTGGAACTTTCAAGTTTCGGTAAAATGGTTGGCTTGTTGGCCTCACACCCAACCTTCCTTGTTTAGCGGTTTTATTACCAGCTTACTGAGATTTAAAAGTGCCTCGGCCGAGGATCGAACCCCGAACCACGTGAGGCGTGGTTGGCGAGCCTTCCTACCGCTGTATCACACTGACGAACAAGTGACAAGCAAACGTATTCAGTAATTTGTAAGTCCTAGGAATAAATATGCATCTCATCAGCTCTACTAGTAGAAAAACTTGGCACAGGAATATACGAAACATAAAAAATCACAGACATCTGTTTAAAGATTGAGTCTACACACTTTCTACAATCAATCATATTCAGAGACTAAGTGTCAACGGGCATTAACCTTAACTAGGCAAATTTTATTCATCATATATGGGTTTTTTTTAAAAAAAAAGTGTAAACAATTCAGTCATTGGGATGAGATTCAATGGCCACACCATGAGTTTTAACTTCTGCCAATTTGTGATTTTATCGCGACCACCAACCAATGTCTGCACTCCCGACGGGGTGGACCCACTGGTCTCGACTTCTCACTAGAATTCCAGGTACACTTGTCTTCTAGTCATTTGCTAGCGAGCATCACATTAATTTTCAAGGAGTAGTTTGTAGGGACTTGATTTGTTTCAAGTTCGATCACGGATTGACATCACTGCCTCGGGCATGAAGACAAATACTCTCCAATGACATTGGATGATGAATGCGCTAAAAATCACGAACTGACAGAAGTTAGAATTTGTGGACCTATGAATCAGGTCCCAACAGTTGGATGATCTATGAGCTTCCTTGTAACCAGGTCCTGAGTCCGAAATCTGGCGGTGGGTACGTAACGATGATGAGCCCCGAAATGGGGCACAACGACTATCCACTACTGTTTGCTTGTTTTTAACGATTCTCTAACTGACATCAATTCGTGGTCACACTTGGAACAAATCAAAACTCTACAATCTAACTCTTGAAAAAGAATGCATAAAAATCATTTATTTATAAACCCTATGATAACTAATTTTGTATAATAAAATATTCCTAAGTCCATCACTGATATGTGCGTCGGTGGCACAGCAGTAGAATGCTCGCCAACCACGCCTCACGTGGTTTGGGGTTCAATCCCCGGTAGACGCACTCTCAAACCTTGCTAAGTCAGTAATAAAACGGGTAAAGAGGTAAGGCTGGGCATTAGGCTAGCACTCTCAATCCGTAAAAAGAAATACCACTGCTACAGAAACTTCAAAGCTCTAACTTGATTCCCTCAGTTCCACTAGGAACGTAAAGGAATAAAATAAATAATGAATAAATACCACTGATATGCGCTGTTTGTGCGAGTATAACTCTGATTGTGTGTGTGTGTGTATTCAGCTTATAACAACAGGCCAAGCTAAATGAATCTTTCATCAGTAGGCAACTACCTTTGGTACAAAACAGCTGTCACTGCTGTCTGAAACGCACTTATTGCCTCCAATTACTGGCCGAAAAAGTATAGAAAATTAATCTGATGCTTGATAGTGACTTGCTACAGGACGGAGTTTCCTGGAGTTCTAGTGAGAAGTCGTTACCAGTGAGCTCCATCCAAATGTCAAGTGTGAGGATGGATGTTCCACCGATGACATTGGTTGGTGGTCGTGCTAAATCACGAATTGGTAGGAGTTAGAATTCATGGACTGGTGGACATTGAATTGGGCCCCAATGGCTGAATGGTATACGAGCCAGCTTGCCTTGTAACCGGGCGGCTATAAAAGCATAATAACATTATTTTTCTAAGTGCTACAGTGGAATTAATGCCATTTCTCAATTACATACGGTAGAATAATATACACTGACTTAGTTATGAAATGTATAGTACTACTGCGTACTTGAAACACAGTGTATCTATATTGAAGTGTGGAAGTTCCTGAAGACAGACGTCTTATTACTGGTCCACGGTTTTATGACACAAACTTCATTAATAATTTTTAAACAGAATAGAGAACTACGATAATGGCATTTTTGTGTGTAAAATTCGTGCATTAACATTAAACACTAAGGAAGTGAATGTCCGTTGAGATCATTTTCTGATACTCCAAAATTACTCCAAGTCTTATCAATATCCTGTGGAAGTGTGCTCAAATACCAACCTTATTTTAATAAAATGTCAGCAATATTTAAGGTTTTTAATTTCACTCAGCATTTGAATTGTCATTGTTCTTGTTTTCTACAATTGTAATAAGTGGGAAATCTATGCCGGAGGTTGAATGACTAGTATTGGTCTAAATGCCTTTTTAAGAGCATTGGACAATTGTATTTTCAGTGAGGTAAGCCATATCGGATATGACGGCAGTGATTTACTAATCACGATGGTCGTGGTTCAATGAGAATTGGAAGAAACTGGGGAGATATGGATTATTGGACTCTGAATTAGCGCGGCTATGGGATTATGCGGAGACTGTGGAGACTGAGGAAGTATAGGGACTTCATATAATTAACCGAAGTTCCTTAGATGATACTGATGAGGTTAAGTATCCTCAACTGTGTGAGTATTGCAAAATTTGGGAGTCTAGTCAGCATTTTACTGATATAGTCCTTGTGATTCATGATTACAATTCCTCCGCCTTTATCAGGATGTAATATCATAATATCTTCGTTTTTGATGAGTTCTTTCAGCTCCTTATAGTGTTAATTGTAACCGAATCTCCATTCCCAAGCAATCCAGAGAAGTACGTATTCAATCTTTCAGAAATCACACTGTCTACTACCCAACTAGAAACACTATCTCTAGGTCCAAAATTCTGCGTAAAACCACCAAGTATTGACAAGCTACAATGCCAGGTTTAGTTCGAAAATCTAATAAACTAAACTTACGATCTCACACCCCCATATCAGATGAAAACCTACAACAACTCAAAGCATGAATCCTCGACTTTTTTCACAAGTTTTTAAATACCAAACCCAACGGAAGGTCCATTTTGATGAAGAGGCACTATAAGGAGCTGAAAAAACTCATGAAAAACGAAGAGATTATGATATTACGTCCTGATAAAGGCGGAGGAATCATAATCATGAATCGCAAGGACTATATCAGTAAAATGCTGACTATACTTATCCGATGAATGCAAATTCACAAAACCGATCAACGAGACGAGAAAAACATGATTGAACAAACCGAACGAAAGTTAACGGACACCCTCTCCGTAAGCTAAAAACTGAATCTTTCATCAGCAACGAAACGTTCAAATTTGGGAGTTGTTTTAAGATTAACAGTTCTCGCGAAGTTATCAATCAGCATCGTCTAAGGTGGCCAGAAGAAAGAAGTGTTACCACAGTCCTACTCACTATCTGCCATGATTTGTGTTAACAGAACAAGGACTGAGTTGGAAAACAAAAGTAAACAATAAGCCTGCAGATAAGATACTACAAAGAAAGAGGATACTTTATTTATTTATTTTTTTTATTACATCTTGATTCCACACTGTATTTTCGGTACAAGTATGGAATTTTCAGCGTGTGATATCGGTATCCCAAATTTTGCAGGCCGACCATAGATATCAGGTGTGCGTTGGCAGGGGATCGAATCTCGGACCATATGCATGGTCGGCGAGGATACTTCACAATGTGATTATAGCTACTTTTACAGAATACACTACACCCATATTAAAGGTTGCTTTGTGTTTAACAAAAAGTGTAGAATATAAAAGGATAATTAAATTACCGAAGGTTTTGATATTCTTTCATGATTTGTGCTTCTACTTCTGGTGTTTGATTAAAAATTATTTTCAATTTGCGTAACATATCACAACATGTTGCATAATCCATTGTTGTCTCGCCTTGTATAGACTGATCATAATTCATAATACTGGAAATATTCGTAGATTCAGTAGAGCTGGTTCCATTCAACTGAGCTTCATATGACATAGATGCATGATTTACAACATCTCCGTTTGTTGTCTCTATTCGATCTGGTGGCGCATCACCGAGTTCAGCTAAAAGAAAAGAAATTTTGGTCAATTAATCAGAGAGAGAAAAGAAACAGTATTTTAAGTTTAAATTTACAATAAAAAAAACAACATGTGCAAGAGTGATTCCTTCCTAATACTTGAATTTCAAAATACAACAAATGAAATAAACCCACAGTAACTGAAGTAGGTGAGTAGGTGGCATAGTTGTTAGGACGCTCGCCGACTATGCACATGGTCCGGGGCACAATCCCCGGCCACCGACGCACTCCTTTACCTCGCTAAGCCAGAAATAATACTGGTAAAGAGGAAAGGCTGGGCATGAGGCTAGTAACCCCATTCTGCAATAAAACAAACACAAGGCACTCTATTCAAACTCATGTAGCCGTGTAAGGGCTTATGGGGAATTGTCATCTCAATTGATAACAACCAGTGGTGTCCGACAGGGATGTCCACTTTCCCCATTCCTGTTTAACTTCATCATAGATATGCTGATGGAAGTATCCTTAACTGAACGTAACGACTTAGGAATCGACTTGTTACCAGGGAATAGTCTTATGAACTTAGAATAAGCAGATGACACAGTCCTGTTAGGGGAAGATGGTGACAAAGTGCAGAGTCTTCTGAACACCTTGAGCAGCAATCTTCGTATGTTCGGCATGCGATTCGCCCCTGAAAAATGTAAGATGCTGCTACAGGACTGAACTACGTCAACTCCTAGCTTAGTGATAGGGAGTGAAGTGATAGAACATGTTGACCACTTCACCTATTTGGGAAGTTGTATTAGCACCAACGGACTGATTGGCGACGAAATCTCAGCACGGATCCAAAGAGCTCGAGCTGCTTTCGCTGACTTACACCACCTCTGGCGTAGGCGTGACATTCGGCTATCAACCAAGGGACGTGTGTACTGCTCAGCAGTTCGCTCCGTCCTCGTCTATGGCTCTGAAACATGGCCAATATGCGTTGAAGACATGAAAAGGTTGACTGCTTTTGATCATAGATGTCTGCGATCTCTTTCTCATGTCAGGTGGTTTAATAAGGTAAGTAATCTTGTCGTTAGAGGTAGAGTGTTGGACAAAGAGGGAAAATCAATCGACGAGGCTATAAAGTTACACAGATTGAGATGGCTAGGTGACGTGCTGCGCATGCCTAACCATCACCTCCTCCGACGGGCGTTACTAGCTGATATAGGTGCAGGTTGGAAAAGAGTAAGTGGCGGCCAAACAAAAACATGGCCTCATCAACCCATGAAATCCTTGACAGTTAAACTGAGTCAGGTAGGGAGATGCAGACTTCCGGGTTGTGGCCCTCGGGAATTTAGGAATCAATGGCTGGAGACTATAGGTGACATGGCTCAAAATCGTTGTCAATGACCAGCGCAGATGTATTCAGTCTCTGTAATCTTTCATATTTCTTTCTACCATTACCCATTCTGTTTCACTCTTATACTTGACAGAATGTATTGACTCTCTTCACTCATCTTCTTGTCTACTTCTGTGTGCTATTTGGAACGTGGCAACTCGAACTGCTGCACTTCGGTGCCAAGTTCTATGTTGAATCCAGATATATATATATAAAAACACTGCTACAGAAACTTCAAGCCACTAGCTTGAAGCCCTATGTTCCACTGGAGAACGTGAAGGATAAAAAAACTGAAGTAAAATTACTTCGTCAACAATCCTTTACGATGTATCTGAAAGTGACATATGGCTCCCATATTGTTCTACTACTGAGGATTAAATGGTGGGAAAGAATTAGCAACAAGAAACTCTGATAGCCGGTAAACCAATCAATCAACAACCTGTTGCTCAACAAATATTCTACAGAAATGCAGATGGATCCAATACAATTTGAGGCACTAGGTAATATCTCAAGTGGGACCGAATGGGAAACGACAAGTCGAGCGTGGAAGAGATCATGTGTTAGTCGGAGAGGATTGAAGATTATAGGCAATCACGGGGCTAGGTGAAGTGAACTGCAGAGAATAAATCGTAACCAGTAGGGTGCAGCGGGTCGAGTGTGAGGACAAATACTCGCCGAAGACATTGGCTAGCGGTCGCGCTATGTCGTGAATTGGCAGAAGTTAGAATTCAAGGACCATTGGATCATGTCCCAGTGGCTTAATGGTATACGAGCTCGCTCTGTAACCGGAAGGTCCTCGGTTCGAATCCCGGTGGGTGCGTACTGCTGACGAGTCCCAAACTAGGACGAAATAGCCGTCCAGTACTCCCAGGTTTTCCAATGGTTCTCTAACTAATGTCAGCTCATGGTGAAATCCTGAAGCCAATCAAATCCCTACAAACCAACACTTGGATAAATCGAATAGATGTTCTGCTGAAGCCTTATGTTCCAATCGGAATCCAAGAGAACAATAGTAATAATAATAATAATGAGACTCTACCAGTGGAACACTAGCCCGATAATCGATAACTACAAAAGGCTTATATCTATACATCTAAAATACTACAACAATGTTCTAAAATGATGAACAGACACACTTGGTATGTGAACTCAATCCTTAGAATGCTCAAAGAAGATCAATCTTATTAGAAGTTGCATGATGGACGAATTTCACCTCATATACAAAACATTTTTCTAATGAGCTCAAACTAAAATATGAAAAAAAGAATCAGAGATATAATACACACACTGAACCATGTCTAGTGAGCAAAATAACAATGTGTAACTCAACTCAACTACTCAAACTAAAATAATGACTTAATTGGATTTTTTTGATCTTCCCGTCGATTGATTGGACCGAAGTGCTCACGGTCTCAGGTTGACATGTCGACTTCTTGAGCAGATGCTTCGACGATGTCTGGGCATTTAGTTAGTATTTAATTGGTGGATGGTGACTAGCAGTGGAATCCGGGATGCACATTTCGTCCCACTATTTGGGACTCGTTAGCCACAACGGGAAAATAAAAAAAAAATCAATTAAATTAATATGACCCGTTGCACAAGAGGTGGCTCTCGTGGCCCAAGCTGTCTAGTGGATAACGCTTTAGCGTTTGAAACTATGGACACTGGGTTCGAGCCTCGGTGGGAACATCATCAGTCACTGAGAAATGCAGGCACATCCAGCTGACGAGTCCCAAATAGTGGGACGAAATGCGCATCCTAGTGGATTCCAATGCTAGTCACCATCCACCAATTAAAATAATGATTGTTTAAAATTATTAGGTATAATTCTCTACAGTTAAATATAGTCCATATTATGTGAAACAAATAGGCAGAAAGAAATGGAGATGGATTGGCCATACGCTGAGGAAACCATCAAGTGACATCACTAGACAAGCCCTCGAGTGGAACCCGAAAGGGAGGCGGCGAGTTGGTCGTCCAAGGGTGACTTGGAGGAGGTCATGCGAGGAGGAGATGAAAGCATGTGGACATACCTGGAGCAGGGTGAAAAAGTTGTCAGAAAACCGAAGTCAATGGAGGTGCGCAGCTGAAGCCCTATGTTCCTCAAGGAACTAAAGGATACAATAATAATAATAATATGTAAAACATCAAATTAGCATAATAAATTTCACGCCTTTCCAATAAATATTCTTGTCTTGGGCCCGTTAATTCAAAAGAATGATAAAGTGAAACCTTAAACAAAACGGATCACTAGTAAGTAAGTAAGTAAGTAAGATCTCTTAGCACAATAAAATGTTGCAAAGGGTTAAATGCCAATTAACTATTTATTTTTTAAAAAAGCAACATTCTATAGCATTCAAGTGATTATTCATAAAATAGCCGAATATTTTACGTCTCAGCCTTTTACAGTTAAAATGTTAGAAAAAACTAAACACATCAGTCACCGACCGGTTAACAGTAAAAGAAATAAAGTTTATTCCGCACACATAACACGCGATTCAAATAAGACTAACACGTGGTATCATCATATCAGTGAAAGATCAATATAGTGTGAAAAAAGTTAAACGTCACAATCACAAATTTTAATTCAGTTATTCCACTGGAAAAACTCATTTCGAGGGCAAATTAGATGAGAGAGAAAAAAATATATATGAGTTGATATTTTTCGAATAGACTAAAAATGTGTGTATGTATATGTGTTGCAAATGTGCATAGACAGTCCTTTTTCTTGTCGTTTGCCATGATACTTGATGATACTAACATGTTTCTTAAAAATATTTTGTACAATTAGATGAAGAAAACAGTAGGGGATTAATACTTCACCAGTGCAATTATAAGTGTTGTATTTATCGCAACACAAAAACATGACGGAACAACAGAAAAAGAAGTGAAAATGATATGATACGGTCAATATGAAACTATGCAGTGAGTAGTTGCAGACGCTAACATAACATTATCCCCCCCTCCCAACGGTAATGAGTCATCTTGGAAGTTGATCAACTGTAGTAATGACGGATAGTGACGATATCAGGTTCATTAAAACACTGAAATAGCCTATTAGAACATCTATTCTGACCTTACTTAGGTGAACAACATCACAAGAGGAAAATAAAAGGCTTTTTAATTCACCCACTCCAATGGATTACAGGATTACAGGACAATGCAGTACAAATGGGTTAACAAGACTACAAATAAATGTCACCGGGGTTTCTTCACAGTTTAGGAAATGATAAATCAAAAGGTGCATACAAAACAACCATGAGACAGTGTACAAGCATTTAAATCAAAGTGTCACCTATAATTGCATCATGATGTCAACTACAGTTCCAAAACTTCGAAGGTTAAAAAGCTTCACTGAATGACAAACACCGGAGAATGTCTTCGAAACAAAACCGTAATTGTTTTTTTTTAACTGGTTATTGTTAGGAATGAAAATCAAATTAGGCAAAAAGTCACTTGGCAACTTGAGTATGAGAAATCAGTTTACGTACAAAGTTAAAATGGAAAACAGCTTGAAATCAATTAAATTTTAGAACAAATATTGAAAACCAACCAAACAAAACTATTCTAAACATTTAAATAGAAGTAGTTTCGCTTGATCAGAACACTGATGATACCATCCAAATTCGAACAAGTCCGTGAGAAGCATCATAACGTGAAGACTAATGCAGTGAGCACTCAGACAAGATTAAGCTAAGGCAAATGAACTACACATTCGAATTCCTCTCTGGTAAGAACAAATCATAATAATAATAATCTGCTTTATTCCAAAAACTGTACTTGTAATACAGAATGGAATTCTCAGCATTTTTCATATCCACATGTACTCATCGCAAAATAATCCAAATCAGCCTTCTCAAAAGGTAGCATGAGAATATAATTCCCCAGCCTGACATTAAACGCCATGTATATAGAAACAAGCTGAGGCAAAAACATAAGTCTACCATTGAATACAAAATTCTATGTAAGTAAATATTTTGTCAATTAAAAATTTAAATCATATTTGAGAACGAAAGCTTTGAATACATAAACTGTAATAAATCATCACTTGTCAGGAGATTTGAAATACACTCACTTACGATGTACTATATGAATTTTGTTACTGGCATACTTAACACACATCTGTCATCTTTTCAAGTAGCACATTGTATGGGGGGATGAAGCATATACAAACATATATATATATATATATAACAAAATTCTACGCGATCATTACCTTGAGCAACCAATGCCCCGAGTTTTCCAACTAAAGCAGGCGGACACAAAAGACGTCCCTGAGTTAAATCCCGACGTATTTGGAGGTACATCAAATATCTATAATAAATAATTAAAAGGTAAATGGCATACACAATTCCGGTGATATATTACATTCTGGGAAACATTTACCATAATGGTGGGTTAACTTGATTATCCAAGTAATTTTTGAGGAACACTAATCATCTACATTCATACTTTGAGTAACTAAAAAATAATCATTAGCAAACATTCTTAAAACTTAGTTCTTTCGAATGTATAAAGTTGGAATAAGCGAAAATTTCCTGTTACAGGAATTAACTAGGTTTTCAAAAAGCATGTTACGGTCTTTGTGAAACGTAGAGTTGTAACTAAGGTAGACCTAGGTATTACGCTTTTAATTACTCAACCACAATTAAAAAAGAGCTAATAATATACATAACCCACTACTCTAGCATAATGCTCAAAGTGACGATAAAATCATACCCTACCTTGAATATTTAAGCCTAAACAGCTAAATGACGTAGTATTCATCTCAATTTACTGCATGCAACTGTAAGTAAATGATAACTTGAATTGTGTAGGTATTTTAGAGTTGACATTAAATAATCTTGAATGTTTCTAAGAATAAAGCAGCGTCCATAACATAACACGCTGACAGTAGCAGATACCACGATGAGAGCAATAAATACTAAAAAATGTAACTACTGGTGTACCAAGTGAAGGTTGTGCATGAATTTATCAACCGGACACAGGAAGATAATAGATCCATATAGTAAATAGATATTTTTATTAAATGCTGGACAAAAACAACAAGTTTTTTTAGTTATAGCTCTAGGAGTTAAGTCCTAGATTTATAACATTACCAGTTTAACATGAAGACAACAATCGAGTAAAGGCTAAAATTTCAAGTCTGTGGATAGCATTACTACCTTTACAGCGAACTTAATGGGACAAATCTATTGTGATTACACAAAGGCTACTATACAGATTAAACCATCTCCAGCATTAAATGAAACGACGCTATTGATCTGGGAAAATACTCCACTTATTCTGGAAAATGTCAGGATGTCTACGACACGTACATAAAGACAATCGACTGAAATGATGTGATGGCAAGGGATAAAAGTAAGAAAGGCAACAAATGGGAATACTGCACGGGTCGAGGCAAAAATATATCATACAAAATTAAATACAGTGGTAATCATCATATAAGAATAATACTAAAAGCAGTGTGTTTACAAAAACCCTAATGCATCAAGATAGAACTTATGATGAAATATACTGAGTGCACTTATTATTGATGCTCATAAAATCTCGTATAAAATGTTGATAGATAAATGTACGGCCAAAAGTTAAGAGTCCAACTTTAACTCTTAAGGTGAATAAGTGGATGAATAAATTCCAATAGCAACCAAATTCTCATAAAAATGTATTTTAAATACTCAGAGCTTATAAGTATTTAAGGAAAAGACCTACCTCGATATGTTTTGAGCTAAGTCATGGACCGGGTCTGGAGGATAATGCTTTACCCGGAAATTCAGCACATAAGATTTGCAGTCTAAAAAGCACATGAAAAAAGAAATTAGTGCAAACCTTTTAGTTGTTTATGTACACTTTTGTCTAGTTCAAGCCATTGCTGAAAGATAAAATATAGCCAAATACAATCATACTCGTATGCTTCCTTTATCAGTATACCGCAGCCCAAAATAGTCACATTCAACAAAATCACCAATTGTTTGGCACACTTTTTTAAAGAGAATAGAGCCTTCATCGCTTTTCTACAACATCAACAGGAAAATAAACAACTAACTTTTATTGTGAATTCAAGTGGAGCTTGAGTGTCATCTAACAATCTCACTTTACAGTGGATAAAATCGCCGGGTTTTCCAGATTCATCTAAGCTCTTATCAGCAACACTGTCACCGGCATTCTTGACTTTATTTTTCTTCGAAGAATCCTTAGACTTATTTTTCTTCAACGACTTCATCTGCTAAACTACTAACAGTCTAACAAATAAACACTAACAACGCGACCACCGAATATCCGCTCAAAAACGTGTGCCTTCCTAGTGGAAACAAACAAAAGCACTTTCCATAACACTGATGTTCCGAATGTTTTTTTCAAATATTTAGGTTGGAATTGTTTTCCCTATACATAATAATGGCTTCTGATTACGTGATACATGTAAATGTTGTCATTTTACGATTTGGACACTAAATTCCAATTCATTTTCTTTTTTAGTAAAACATTGGAGAAAAATGGGCAGAAAACCCCGTAAAACGCACTTCTCTTCACGAGACAACATAAATTTTATCTCGGCTGAAAATAATTCATGATAATTTCTAAGGGAGAAAGTATATTATACAATTGTGTTCTCACGCCAATTAAACTAAAGAAACAGATCAAGTCAAAACTCTCTCCATAAAAAGAGTTAAGCACACCTTTCACTGCATTGTCCACGTGTCTTGCTCGTTCAGACATCCATTTTTAACCTATTTCCAAGTCCGTTCTGCCGAATAGTGCCGCTGCGACACACTGAGAGCTGGACTGATACGTGGCTGTTTCCTTATTTTCCAGTACTTACCAAAATTGTTATCCCTGGATATGCCGGACCGTCTCCCACTTTTATTCTTCTTTTTCTCCTTTTTGTAAAACATTGCCTTTTGATGAAGAAACTGGTTCTGTCGAGTTTTCTGTTTACTGGACTGTTTCCGTACCTGTTAATAATAAACTGGCTGTACCTAACTGAAAAGCTCCAGTCAACAAACTCTTGGTGCCATCTGTCAGGAGGTCTTAATTTGCATCTTCAAAAGGTCAGATCGTCAACCAAACTTTCAAAGGCGATCGAAATTCACGTGGACTACTTCATCTTCATGATTCTTGTAATATACAGGACGGCGAAGTAGAAACTAGTTACAAAATTTGTGCTTGGACTTTTGCCTGGCCTTTCTTAATCGTCTTACATCATCTTAGTCTCTAAGAAAACATAACGTCTAGCACTTTGCAGGGTATGGTTGGAACAATTGAATGGAACCCAGCCCCTATTCTGGAAGCTTTTGAACTTCTACATTCTAACTATTCTTCTTTGATTTTTACTATCACCCTTACTTATATTATTGGAGGTACGACAAACCTGATAGTTATTTTGATGTCGATGGAAAGATAAGTGAACTTCGGATGAAACATTATGTTATACACTGGGGCTTCCACTGTGTAACGAAAAAGTGTTTGTACTATCTATCTGAATAATATATTGTACTCAAAGTCTAGAATTCGTAGTCTGGGCAAAACGTATTCCCAGATAAATTGTCTAGAATAGTGACCTTATCAGATTAAACGTGGGGAAATTTTGCACTTTAGGCCAGTTTACCGTGATTCTCTTAGGTTTTCTTAGTGTTATGTAGCTCTCCACTGACTGCAGACACTGAATATTAAAGGTCTCTCCTCATTCTATCTCTTCTGCAAACATTATGCTTACTTCTCCCTGAAAAATTCACTTCTGGGGAACGTCTCTCTAAATCCAAAACCATGGTTTGCTGAGTATATATCCCTGTCTTTATTTTCCTACACTTAATGATTGACAGTTAAGCAGTGTTTCATTGACCTTCTTTACTACTTCTGAATCCTTATACTTTGGAACGTTTCCGCATAATTTCCAACTACATGAACGCTTCCACACATTTTGATTTAAACGAATTCAGTGTCGAGGACCACCTTGTGAGACCAAAAACGATAAAATTGTCAACTACATATCTTACGCTTCTTTTGTTACAAAAATAAGTACATTATTAGCAAACTCCTTAGTCAAAGACGACCAAGATGAATATTACGTTTGTTAGGTTAAATAACGCTCGGAATGCTGCTGTGTCACCTTAAATCTAAATTAAGTGGTCTGTATTACCATCCTTTTTACAGCTGGAATATTTTGAAAGAGCTTAGGGGGACAGGTTGATTCGCCTGTCCAGACTCCGTCTAAAATCATCAAGTTTTCCACAAGATCTGATTTCAAATATTAGCTGTTTCCATAAGTTACCTCCTTAAACAATAAAAAAGCTGTACCTAGGGATTTGTTTGTGCGTAGAAAATCTGAAAATGTGGTCGTGGCTGCCTAAATGATATGTCACAAGGTTAGCCCGAAACAGACTGTCACAGTGCTTTCTGATAACTTTAAAGGCGGCACCTTATTCTATCAAACCACAGGGTTAACAAATCCAGTCTGATGCATCTATCAGCATATTCCTTTTAACGGCAGAATCCTATTACTCCCTCGTTATTAATACGACAGGCTTCCGTTTATTTTTCCCAAAATGCGCACTAAAAGCAGAGTTATATTACCGGTGTAATATTTTAGCGAGTTTTATATGTCAACCAACAATAGACCAGTACAGGAAGATAATTATACAGTGGCATAATCGTGTTTTCTACTGCTTGTCGTTACCAACGCACCAAAAATCCACAGACAAACGTCATCTTTATATACCTGAATACCTCTGATGGTATCTGTTCAGAGTTCTGTCAAAGAGCAGGCACTATAGCCTTGGTATGGATCGTTACTTCCAAAAAATGGGAAACCGGTTCTAGTAAATAAGGTCGTTGGACATATAGTCACTGAACACTAACGTTGACAACGGCCGTCTCTGATTTTCCAGGAAGGTGTAGAAACACGCCAGATTTTCTAATTTCAGAGGTTAGTCATGGAGCGGCCTCTTCAAGACAGATGTACAGATTTGGTACTTGTTATGAAAAGGAACTTAAGGGGATGCAGAATCAATAGATGTATTCAGGTACCTCCGTTGTAGCAGCTGATGAACAAAGCGGTCCGGTAGATGTCTACCGCAGCCGGGTGGTCTACACGAGTGAAGTGGGCTTCCCTGCTGCCACGAAACTTCAAACCTCAAATGTTAGCCACTCTGAGTGGTTGAGTAAAGTTTCGTGCATTTACTGAAGCGACGTCTCGTCAAGAATTCTTGATATGAATTTAACAGCAAAAAGCCCTGCGTTTCTTATCACTGGCTTTTTCAACTACATGCTTAGTAGCTATTTGGTGTGTAAACTAGTCACTGCTCTCCACTATGATATGTCAGAAGCATTTGACACGATACTGCACATTACCCTCTTGTGAAGTTGTGCCACTATAGAACTCATAACCTGTTTCTTAAATTGTCAAAAATATTTCCAAGAGACTGCGTTTGAGCAGCTAAAGTTGTGCCTGCGTTGTCTCGCCCTGAGTAGATAGTAGGCTGAGTCATACAGGACAGCCTCCTTAGACCACCTATAGTTGTAAACTACCTCAAGAAAAGTATTTGTACGCGGTGACAACCGTGAATTCGCTTACTCCTACAATATTCACGAACCGAGCCGGATAACATTCCGTATTCGTCTTGAACCAAGAAATGTCGTACCCTGGCGTGCTGAGCTCTGTCTAAATTTCAACACTGGGAAATGTACCTGTATTTACGCTTGCGAGAGGAATCTTACCTCAAGGAGTGGATGGTCAAGAGCAACGGAAGTTTCCGCTTCAAGTTTCATGGACTTTATTTATTTATTCATCGTTTTTCGTGTGTTTCATCAGTCAGTTTATATTTGTCATTTTAACACTTCTGGTTCCTAACTGCGTATAAACTGAAAACTGTCCATCACTGCCTAATACTGAAGTGCACACACTTTCAAATATTCAGGCACAAATTGGTCGATTTGGTGAGCTGACTTCAGTCAGTAATAATAATAATGTATATTCTCATATAAACATATAAATTTACATGAAAATGCATGCCATTTTTACAGGCACGATCAAGTATGATATAGTCTCAAATCGTAGATTGTCTACAAGTTAATAATGTTTCAACGGTTAAATATTTGATATATATATAAATACACTCATTGTCTGAACTAGGTTGTTTTAGTTATTGAATTGTACAATTGTCCTCCAGGTTGAGCGGGAAAATCGACTTCGTTTCGTTTTCATCCCGTGGTTGTCGGGGCAATGGATAAAGGCACACACGGGGTGTCGTTATGTGTTATCGCGATCTTATGTTCGGGTTGTTCTACGTTGTTTTCAGGTGTTTTTCAACTGAAATACATTATAAATACCATATTTTAACGAAAAAACTTAGAAAAATGGTGGAAAGTAGACACTTTTTAGCAGTTTGAGTGAACATGTATCTGTCATTGAATTTCGTTATTTCTTTCCATGAGGAATGTTGAAACTGTGTAAATTGTTGATTACGTTAAGGAAAACGAAATAAATTGAGCAACTGATGTATAATTTGCGAAATTCTGAAAAGGTGTTTTGAATCTCTGAGATATGAAAGCTTGGTAACACTCAGAAGAGTCTACAGCTATAAAGGAGTGTTAGTTGATTTATTCGCAAGATAACAGTTAATAAACAAATTTTTTTTAAATAGTTACTTTGGTTTGGAGTATTTTCGTGTTGCTAATTATTTGTTAACGGACGTTATACTATTGTTGATTTGCAGGTTGCAATTGTAATTTACGGATTGATTCACCTTATTTGGAGGATTTAATGAAGTGCAGTTGAAGAATTTGCGCGTTATCGTTGGAATCTTAGTGATATTATAAAATTATTTGTCAAAATAAATATCTCTTTATTGTTTTAATGGTGTTCTTTAAAGAATTCACTACTACTCCCCTTTGCTTGTCGAAGGAATAGTGATGTAGCCGGTTTCGGAATGCGTATTGATTTAATTTGAAAGAATGATAAATTGCGAAACATAATAATACTAGGAAAATTTCCTTCAATAGGATATACCTATAACACGTTATTTTCGATGTACGTAGCCACCCTACATTTGTTATTATGTATACGTAGTAATCACAAAACAAACCTAAGCTCAACGTACATTTTTTCGCAGGCCCTGATGAAAGATAATCTTATACGCAGCCGTATTGAGTGTAACTGAAACATTTCATGGCACTTGAAAGCACCTCCAAAGTTTATAACTTAACGGCACTTCTTAAAAAACGAAT